GAGAGGGAGCCGTGCCACGCGGTCCCGAAGGAGGCTTTGGAGCCAGACGTCAAGCAGGAGGCGGTATCGCGCGGTTCGGAAGAACGTGTAGCTCAAAACACGGCCGAGCAGACGGAAATAACTCCGCAGAAAGAAGATTCCCATATTGGGAAAGAGGATGAGGTTTCCGACGGCTCGAAGGGTGCTTCCCTCTGCTCCCGGAGGCAGGGCTCCAAGAGGAAGTTCTCCCAATCCGACGGCACGCTGCTGGGCTCCGAGTCCGATGAAGATTCGGTGAGGACCTCCTCCAGCCAGCGGTCACACGAGCTGAAGGTATCCAGTACGGAAAAGGAGAGAGATTCCAGGAGAAGCTCCACGTCCCTCAGAGGTGACGACCTGGGGAAGTCCTCCTCGCGCTCCAAGTCGGACAGGGATGAGAAGTACTCGAGCTATTCGAAATCGGAAAGAGATTCGCGATACGCGTCCTCCCGCTCTCGATCAGACAGAGAGAGAAGGCGAAGCCGGTCTCATTCCCGTTCCCGATCCGATCGGAGCTCCCGAACCAGCTCTTCCTACTCGAGGTCGGAGCGCTCGCATTACTACGAATCCGACCGCAGATACCATCGGAGCTCCCCGTACAGGGAAAGGTCGAGATATTCCCGTTCGTATGCGGACAGCAGGGCGCGAGACAGCTCGGACTCAGAGGACGAGTACAGGAGGACGCATTCCAGATCGAGCGACTCAAGGCGTACGTCGTCCCACTCCTCCTCCTCCTACAGAGACTCGAGGACTTCTTACTCTAAGTCGGACAGGGACAGCAAAGTGGAGTCGTCTCATGCCGACGCGGAGAGGAGAGGAAGGTCTTCTTCGAAAGCAGATAGAGATTCAAAAAGGACTTCAGAAAGTGAAGTATCCAAAAGGTGCTCTCCCCTTGACGAGCTAGGCTATCGAAAGGGGACATCCCATTCTAAGCCCGACAGTAATGTGAATTCCTCCCGTTATAAGTCCACCCCTTCCAAGACCCCCGCACCAAAGCCTGATAAATTTAAGAGTTCTTTCTGTTGTACAGAATCGACTGAAGAAATAAAACAGCAGTCTAATTCTCTAGATTTAGAGACCTCTTGTCTAAAAAGCAGTGAGATCAGGGTGTCCATTGCGAAGAAATTTGAAAGGGAAAAGACACTTTCTCCGTTAAATCAGTTAAACGATTCGCCCGCTTTTAAAATGGCAGACGAATCGAAAGCGGGTTTCGCTACCTCCCAGTCCGAGGAGCTTACAGGAAACGAATGCCACGACAGTGTTAAGGAGCCAGAAACTTTATTCAAGATAAAGGACGATCAGTTAAGAACGTGTTTCCCCACGGAGCTGAGTGTAAACGGGTCCCCGGAGGGTAGGGCTGATGGTTTGGCAACTTCCAGTGCCTGCAAAACTGAGGATGTCACCGCGTCTTCCGACGATAGCCTGCGTCGCTCGGAGGCGTCCCCTGTCGTGAAGACCAGTCCGTCGTATCCGTTGCCGTCGAATGGGTTCGAGAGCACGTTTGCGTCGCAAGAGCAAGAGCCGGATGATTCTCGGGTCCAGTCCAGCGAGTGCAACAGTCTTTTTGGGGAAACTGAGGCTCCGGTCCCGCAGCAGCAAGGGGAAGCCATCCCTTTGCCCGTCGTGAATGTAGATCATGCTAAAACTGTACTTCAGCTGGATGATCAGGCGCCTCTGTGCGACAAAACCAAAGAACCAGTTTTTTGCTACATTTCAGACGATGCCACCCCCGGTTTCTATCATTCGGAAGTTGAAATCGAAGCGGAACCAGCAGATTTAAAAGTCACATCCGAGACTTTCCTGGACGTGGAGGTAGAGCCGCAGACCGTTACGTGCGATTACGAGAGCACGGAGGATCACCACTCACAGGCTGTGTGTGACGATGAGCACGGTCTTCCTTCCCATCAAACTAGCCTGGCAGCGGAGAGCTCGAGCAGGGATCCCTCCCAGGATGACTGTTCCCCAGGGCTCAGGTCCGACCATCCCGTGGCGGTGGAAAGTGTCTCCTCCAAATGGGATGTGCCACCGCCGGATGGATGCCAAGAACTGCTGCAGCAATCGGAAGCCGAGGAGATGCTCAGGTTGGGTGCTCAGCACGTTGATCTTGGCTCAGCAAAAAGCAAGCCATCGTTCCAAGATGAACATTCGTACTATTCCGAAGTGCCGCTGGAGCACCGCAGCAGAGAGGTCGTGGAACAAAGTGCTGTTTCCACCGAGGAAGTTGGGCTGGATGATTTGAGAGTTCACTGTCCCGGTGTGTTGGCCGAAAAAGATGAGGGAAACGAGCCCTTGGTGGCTTCAGCTTTTCCAGACGCCTTGTTTCCCTCCTGCGATGTCATTGTCACTGCAGAAGAAACGGAGACGGTGACTCAAGCCCCGACGTGCGACAGCAGCGGCAACGCCGCCGAATTCATTCCCGCTGGCCACGACGATTATTCCGACACGGGGGAGAGTGACAGCGAGGGGGGCAGCGAAGACAGCGACACAGAAGACTCTGATTCTGACGACGACGTGCCACGCAAACGACTGCAGTCCGTTGTGATCGTACCAAAGAACTCGACCATTGCGATGGAGGAGAGCAGCCCTGGTTCCTCACGGAGCAGCCAGGGCAACCGGCGCTTCTCCGACCACTGGGAGGATGAGCGACCCGAGCCCAGTAGACCCTACTACGAAGAGAGGGTGGAGAGCATGGCGAGTAAAGGTGCTCCACAAGCAGAGAGCAGATGTTCTCCTAGAGGGATGGAGAAGAGTCCAG